CTCGCGGTCTAGCTCTTGTCCTAGATTTATTTTCCCCTCTCCAGTCTCTCGCGGTCTAGCTCTTGTCCTAGATTTATTTTCCCCTCTCCAGTCTCTCGCGTTGTTGTATTATTTTTAAAGTCTTTATTTGTTGAATTTGATCCACTATTTCTTATATTTTGCTTGTGTGTTGTGGGGTAGATCTGTCGTCTTGGCCACCGTTTCGTACCCTTCTAGATTCAGTGTTCTATTATGTTTAAGTCGTTTGTTGTTATTCATATTTGTCTGTAACTATTAGGGTCCAAACGTATTCTTCATTTAAGCTTTTGTCTTGGTAAGTCCATTTATATTGACCTTCTCAATTCCTTAATATGGCTTTTGCCGTTGGTCTGGATGTTGGGACTCCATATCTAGGAGTTATGATTTTCAATCCGATTTCTTCTGTCTCGGGTTCTTTAAAGTGTTCCACTGTCTGCATCTCTTCTCTTTGGTTTTTATTTAGCGGTAGCTCCCTTGGCTGCCGCTTCGACTTTCTTCTTGTCAGTTCTTGTCTGGGATTGCCTTGGCTCCTGTAGTTGTTGTGTTACTTTCTTGGGTTCTCCTTCTTGTGTTTCTGATGTAGTCGTTCCTTCTACTCGCTTCTTTGCTTGCAGTCGACCCTTTAGTTCTGTGGTGTAGGTTAGCTGGAGTGGTTTTTCTGAATCTGGGTTGTGTTGGAACCACATGTCGGGCAGGTTGTTCAGCTCGAACATTTTTCCTCAGTTCAGCATTATATGAGACAGGTGATATGATGTTGTATAGGTGTGCTTGTATCATGCCCATCATCACTTTGTCATGTACTGCCTCGCTCAGTTTTAGTATAGTTGCTTCCTGATTGTTTCCTTGTTGCACTGCCCTTTTTGCTATTTCCATGTATGTCGTGTCCTACTTCTCTTGTTCCCTCCTCCTCTTCTCCTGTTCTTTGTATTTGATCATATGTTTCGTTATTTGGCACGCCATTGCTAGTGTCCTGTGAGTATGGTATGTATCGCCATTCCTCTTGCAATTAAGGCATCCTATTGTAGTTGTGTTCGTTAAAGTCTGATCTATCCCAGAACAGTTGGAACACTTTGTTGTATTTTACCGGGCATCCCCTCGTCGCATGTTCTTATTTGTAGCAGCAAAAACAGGTCTGCAGGCTTACAAATATTTATCTTTTTATTTGGTTTGGTGTTACGGACATGTTGAAAATCATAAATCCTCGTTGAATTGGGGTTTTTTTTTCTGCCATGACTGTTTCCTCAAAAGAGATCTTAAACACGTGGGTGTAGTCCTTGATTTTCATTACTTCATCCACTCTCATCCATGTGTTTTGTTTTTCAAGTTCTTCTGCCGTGTGTTCTGGGTCAACTTGTCGTATAAACACAGACCTCCTTTGCTTTTTGTTCTGGAGGCATTATTACTACGAGTCCTTCTCAGTAGAACCTGTCTCTTGCGTATTTGGAAAGGATTTTTATCTGCGTCGCGATCATCTTTGCATACGATTTATATCCTTCGTTAGTCGTGAATATTCTTGTGAGTGGTACTTGAAAGGTTCCATAGGTCAGTTCCGCAACTCTTTCCCTCCTCACAGAGTTCCGTTTGTCTTTAAGCTTGAGTCGGATATTTGTTGGCATCTTGGTGCTTATTTACCTCATCAGACGCCCCTCGAACATCCTAGCACCACCCAAAGACGCCTGGGAGATTCTAGAACGTTCTACTCTGATCGAGGGTTATAATAATAAGTAAATCATAACAAAAGTGATGCCATACATTCTAGAATATTCATACGTAAGTAATACATCACTATATACAGGAAAATTTCAGTCAATTTGCCAAAATAACTGCTGCATGGGGCAGGAAGCAATCAAAACACAAATTTCAAAGTCTACCACGAACACCAGCAAGCCATTTAATTATTCACTGATTTTCTTTAAACTATAAGACACAAATCAAGTAAACCTAAAATACCGTCGCTAAAACTACCTTAGGATTTTGGAGTTAAGTTATGTTACGTTGATTATTTATCTAAAGATGGTGTATAATAAAGGACAGGTGTTTACAACGGGTTTATTTATCAACAACACATAAATGAAGCCTGCTCCACACTGTCTTACTGCACACGACACCACCGATGACCTCACACCAACACGTCCGCCCCGATGATGCTCTTACAAATACCGAACATCATGAATGACGTCATTGCATAAACCTATGACACCATCAAACACACGGTGACGCCATTGATGACATTATAATATACAGGAGTTACCATCAATGACGTCACCACAAGCCCATGGCCTCACTGATGACGCCACCACAAATATTTTGCCATCAAACAGTGGTGAGGGTGATTCATAAACACTAACAAAACACGCTCTCCAGTGACACATTAAGCCAATATAACATTCACAACCTGTGTTTTGTAAGTCTACCAAGAGTTAAGGCAGTTATATAGTAGCTTTACGATCACTTGTTGTATGTAATAATAAGAACCAGTAACTAATATGCCATGTAAGATGCCTTCTGAACAATTATAAAATATTTTGGGTTTTCTAATATAATCAATTGTGTTTATACAATGGGAAGTTATTCTTACTTTAATGGATTTATTTCATGTACGCACTACAATAGCGCTTTCAAATTTGGAATGTATATTGAAAATGTATATAGCGGGAAGTGTAATACTGTATATACTGAATAATCATTGGCACCTTCCTTTTTATTACAGAATGTCTTAAAAAAATATACACACAACTTTACAAATTTACGTTGAAAATCATGTGAACGATTTTATTACGACAGCAATATTATCCTCACTTGTTATGGGTCACCTCCAAGGAAAATCTGTAAGGTAGTGTGTATATATTTCTCTTAACCTCACAAGACGGTAACACTTCCACAGTTCCAATATTTAAACATTAAAATAATCTACTTTACTCCTACTTTTTTTTTTATTACTTTTATTGGCGTAGATTTCATAAGGCATTAATTTAATATCATACAACATCAGCAGTAAACAGTAATGTCAGATGTTGCTTTAAATATCGACTAACGTGAACTGATATATTTGTTATATTAAAATCTGTAGTGGTCAGTAAGACACGTCACAAAGATAGCGACCACATCAACATACAGAATGATAAAAAATATACATCAATAATAACATCATGAATATCAGTGTTACTTAAAAATAGTCGAATTCTGGACGACAAACCTTTCCATAGTAAAAAAAAAAAATATTACAATATTTTCATTATTTAAAGCCATTAGACATTAAAACATGGCTAATAATGCTGATAAATCTTCATGGGTGGTAAAACACCTTAAAAAAAAAGGCACTTGGGGTAACACTAACAATTAATAAAAAATAATGTATTTATAATCAAGCTTGCAAATGGTGTCATACTTAGTGATATTGTGAGGGAATATTGTATTGTGTATTGTACAAACGGACATATTGAGTGGGCTATAGTCTACTCCAAGTTGAACTATATTACTCTAGAATTAAGAAAGTTATTATTGTATTTTTATATCTACTACATAAATGAAATTGTATTCAGGACTAATGGACACTACGTACTTGGTAAATATGTCAATATTTGTGACATTCGTTGTATAAAATAGGTATTGTAAATTTCTTATGTTGTGGTGGATTTATTATATTTTCTTTCCGTAATTATAGGTACCGGTAATGAATTTATTTTTTTTAGACAGGAAGAAGAAATTCCTCAACAATCCGAAAAATTCAATAATCGAAATGTTCTTTGTTCTCCAGCCATTCCAATGGACGAGTTGACGGTTCTGGGTAAACACTAGAAATACACACTGCCACGTTCGTAGTGATAGGGTATATATAATTTGTAATAAAAGTTTTCAAGTCCTGCTATAATAGTTGAGATAAGTTTATTTCTCTAGAAACAGGGCCGCCATTTGCAATGACGTCACTAGTTTCAAACTCATCGGCGCAGCCCGAGGCAGTAGAAAGGATGGCCTCTCCAGACACCAAATGCTACGTTCAGATAAGTTTTAAGGGTGTTTTTTTATGGTCTAAGTCACGGACATCTCGTAAGTGAAGAAGTGTGCCGTGAAGAGCAGCTTCAAACATAGGTTGGATGGATATATGAGCGATAGGGGTTGGGTGTAAATAGGACTGCCCAGTATTGGCCAGTAGGCCTGCTGCAGTTTCCTTCATTCTTATATTCTTTTGGACATAAAAAATTCCCATGTTCACACCAGCTCAGCTGTCATGTATTCTTACATGGTAGACTTACTCTTCTTTTTTTCAGTGCATTTACAGAGTATATCAGTACTAGATGGAGATACGAGTAAATTTAGAAGTGATGACATTGTCTGGACTTAGTTTTGAGAATGCCTGATGGTAGATAAACATGACAACATAGTGTTGTTATTGTTTTGATGATTCATTAATGAACCACTGGGATATATCTTCATTTATATTAATTAATGGGTAAATTTTTTACTATAACTACCATAAGTATTTCGATGTTTAGATTCGAGGTGGGCTATATTGGGTAAATTTTAAGTTTTGGTCATCCCTGTACTTAGACATGCAGACTATGTTATATTTTTCTGATTGTTTGCGATGTGTTATGAACGATTTATGCCTTCATTTCTATCGGAAATCACTAGTTTTGAGTTAATACCCCCTCCCCCCCTTACCGATGTATGTTAAGCTAACCTTATAACTCATCATAACCTAACCTAACATATGGTCTGTATTTTCTTATGCGATCGAAAAATGTTTTGCGACAGAAATCCTGTAAAGATAATGTGTCTTATCGTTTAAAGTACTTAGTCCCATAGTTAGAATCTTAAGGTTCCCCAGATGACCAAAACCAAAATAATACCAATATTGTTTGGAATGCTCATACTATGAAATTTGTTGTATGGGCAGCTAATATCCATTGAGATAGTTTGTGCTTAGTAATATTTATGTATTCAAAATAGTATTACTGTGTTGCACAATAAAGCACAATTAATTATCTAATAATATTTATTTACGGAGCTGATCAGCTGAGAAGGTTGGACAACTAAAGCTGGCTGCTTCCCGCTGAGAAACTCCCCCCAACCAGTGGCGTCACAACCAATCACAGGTTTTTGCAGTCCCCTGACTTTTTAGCAATTTTAACCCTTATTTTGACACTTTTTGGCCCAATTTATTTAAAAATATCATTACCATAATGAATTTAAGCGTTTTCTTTACCCATTGACCTGCCATCTTACGAAAACACTCCGACCGACAACTCGTCCATTATCGAGGTTGTACTTAATATAATGTAGAAGCCTAGCAAGAGTCTTATTGCTGGCATGATAACTTACACCCACAGACATACACACTCACACACGCTATATAGGGTGACTCGATAGTGTTCTTGATACAATATAGAGATCATATTCAGTGGAGGTTTTAGTCGGGAGTAACAATTTGGTGCGAGTGTGAGTTACAGAAGTGTGAGTTACGGCTTATACACCATCCCCACACATTAAAAATTCATTGTTATGTAAGGCAGGTGGTGAAGTCGCTGCCCTGCTATGTGTTAAGATTATTGTGTTAGTGTCCAAGGTGGTGAAAGGCGAGGGTAAACAGTGCTATGAAACATGAGGGGGAGGAGGGAGGACTCACGAACATATCTGATCACTTCATTTACTCATTTATTTTATAGACTCTTGACTCGTTAGTTGTAATACTGGAGTTAACATTTGTGATTTACTGATTCAACTAGCACAAAAAAAAGAAAAGGTGGGAGAAAAGCTGAATAACTATTGTAACAAAACACAGACTTGGGCGATCATTGGTAGAGTCTGTGATGTGTGTGTGGTGGTGGAGGAGGAGGGTGAGGATGACCCCAGTACACACCCTCCTTCATGACCTCCTTCTGTAAAACACACACACACACACACACACACACTCTACCCTGACACAGTAAAGTAAGTGCATCGTCACAAGGGCCGCACCAGAGTTACACTAACTCACATATAAAGAACGAGTTTGTTTACAGATATTTCTTCGTTACATCAGTTTTATGAAGGAGTCGGAAGCCTTTAAGATGTTCACCACCACAACGTTTAGGGCCGTGTAAGACCTGGAGTTGTTACCAGTGATTACAGCTATAAGGGTGAAGATGGCAGACGCCAGCGTGTTACTGCCACGGTGAGGGGGAGAGAAAGAGGGAGACTGATTAGGGAGTTGAGGGGTAAGGAAGCTGCCATGTTACTTGGGCAGGGAGTTGATGGAGGGAGGGATGAGGGCATTGGGGTCAAAGGTAACGGAGGAGAGCATGCCCTTGCTAGGAGACCACACGCCGAAATACTGGATGGGCTGGTTGCGGACCTCCCTGGGGATGGTGAGGTAGAGGGACTTCTTGCTGTACTTGCTGAGGGGCTCTTGTGAACCTTTCTCATCAGACACCTGTGACCCGCTGGACTGGGCGTTGCCGCTACCCATGACGAAGATGGCGTCTGTGGGGGTCAACAACATGGTCATATCAACAACACGGGTCATGTCTACACCTACACGATAAAATCTAAACTATAAGTATTTTAAAATTCAATAGATAATAAAAAATTCTGTTGAGCTAAAGGGAAACATCTAAGACTAAATGTATGTTTGATTCATGTCTTCTACAACACGCCATCTATATACAGTATTGACTTTATACCATCAACTCCCACACAACGATCAAACATTACCAGTGTCCAACATCTTCCCCCTTCAACAGCTGACTCCCACAACTAACCTCCCACAACTGACCTCCCCCCCCCACACACACACACACACACAACTTACCCTGAACAGTTCCGTCGAAAGTGAAATCTTGGACGAGGAAGGTCTCTGTATCCAGGATGGTAACTTGGGGAGAGGTCAGTACAGGCTTGTCACTCCTCAGACCCTCAGCTGACTGAGGGGACGGCAAGCTTAGTGTACTGGGGATGACCACGTGACCAAAGTCGATCTGTAGAGGGGTAAAGACGAAGGTAAATTATTATTATTCCTCTTAACTAATGATGTAAGATGTACAGGACTTTTATAATGTACAGTACAGGAGTTAACTCGATACTATAAAATAAACTAATAACGTACAATAATAATACCAACATTGTACTAATTTCTCGACCTTAAACTAGTATTACGTTCACTTAACACCAGTTAGTTTTGTCTGGTGTTAAATTAATCCGTGTTTAGTTAAGGTAGAGTATTAAGTGTTGTTGATGTTAATTTTTTTTTAGGGTGTTATTGTTGTTTCTTATTTATTTCACTTTAAGATTAACCACCGTGGGGAAGGTTATTATCTCTCTCTCTCTCTCTCTCTCTCTCTCTCTCTCTCTCTCTCTCAGTACTCACAGAAAACTTCCGGCACCAGACAGACAACCACTTGACGTCGTTTAGTGATCGCTGGCCCTTCTTGGTCACTGGGAACCTCAACACCAAATTCTTGTTGCGGTATGGCCCCAGCACCTCGTTCCTGGAGGAAGGGAGGACACACTGCTTGTTAGAGGTCACATAATAACAGAGGTCGTGTGGTGTTGTTAGAGGTCGTGAGCTGTTGTTAGAGGTCACATAATAATAAAGGTCGTGTGGTGCTGTTACAGGTCGTGGGCTGTTGTTAGAGGTCATGAGCTGTTGTTAGAGGTCATGAGCTGTTGTTAGAGGTCGTGAGCTGCTGTTAGAGGTCGCGAGCTGTTTTTAGAGGTCGTGAGCTGTTGTTAGAGGTCGTGGGCTGTTGTTAGAGGTCGTGGGCTGTTGTTAGAGGTCATGAGCTGTTGTTAGAGGTCGGAGCTGTTGTTAGGTCGCGTTGTTGTTAGAGGTCGCGAGCTGCGTTGTTAGAGGTCGCGAGCTGTTGAGGTCAGAGGTCGCGAGCTGTTGTTAGAGGTCGCGAGCTGTTTGTTGTTTTAGAGCTGTTGTTAGAGGTCGCGAGCTGTTGTTAGAGGCGAGCTGTTAGAGGTTGTTATTAGAGGTCGCGTCGCAGCTGTTGTTAGAGGTCGCGAGCTGTTGTTAGAGGTCGCTGTTGTTGTTAGGAGGTCGCGAGCTGTTTTAGAGGTCGCGAGCTGCGAGTTGTTGTTAGAGGTCGCGAGCGCGAGCTGTTGTTAGAGGTCGCGAGCTGTTGTTAGAGGTCGTGAGCTGTTGTTAGAGGTCGCGAGCTGTTGTTAGAGGTCGCGAGCTGTTGTTAGAGGTCGCGAGCTGTTGTTAGAGGTCGCGAGCTGTTTTTAGAGGTCACGAGGTGTTTTTACAGGTCGTGAGCTGTTGTTAGAGGTCGTGTGGTGTTATTAGTAGTCGTGAGCTATTGTTAGAGGTCGTACTTGAAATTGAAGCAGATTATATCACTATAAACAAAAGATACGAAGTGAACAACAATAGATTCTGTCTGTGTGTGTGTGTGTGTGTTATAGGAACTCACCTGCCACGTTCATCGGGAATAATGAACCCTCGATTGGTGGGTTGAGGTGTTCTGTTGCCCGCGAAGAAGAACGCGTCTGCAATAAGGTAGTCATTATAGTAGTCATTATATATTAGGCAGTTATTACTTACACTGCCCATACTCATTATTTCTGACTCACTGATGAAGTGTGGAAGTATCTGAAAACTGTTGCGGCATTTTTTTTTTAATTCAACTGTTATTTTTTTTTCTCTCTGTTCATCATCTTTCCTTCTTCTATTTCCTATCCTTTGTGTGTGTGACTTACCAGGAGCCTCGCCATCATAGGTGAAGCCCTCAACGAACACGGTGATGTTGTCGACAGCGTACACTTTCCCCGTCACGTCGTGCTCCAGGGTGGACAACTTGCCGATGTAGGTGCCTCTATATGGCTCCGCCCCCAACACTGACCCGACACCTGCAATGTTACCAAGAACGTGTTAGTTATCTCTTATGAATGGTGTCATGTTTGTGTTTGTGTTATAATGGTGATGTAATCTATATTCTAGATTTATGGTCACCCCACCCCCACAAAAAAAAATATCGTTACCCATGGTCTTGGTGTCGATGTGGTTCGTGGTTTGGTGAGCAGTGATAGTCTACTACTTTTAGAACAGTTGGTATCTACTGAGGACATTAGTACTCATTATCCATAATATATAATGATTCATATTAGGCTCGATATAGTCAATAAAACATGTGTGACTTCTTTCTTGAGTCACCCATAAAATGCACAGTACTGTACATTCTCTCTTGCGTGTTTTCTCTCACATAAATGACTAACTTGTAATACTGTATGTGTAGGTTATGTATCTAAGCTACTGTGCCGAGTAGCAACCTTGTATATAAGCTACTGTGCCGAGTAGCAACCTTGTATCTAAGTTACTGTGCCGAGTAGCAACCTTGTATATAAGCTACTGTGCCGAGTAGCACCTATGTATATAATTACGTGGCAACGCTGCACGCGTTATGTGGCAACATTGCCACGTAATTATATACATAGGTGCTACTCGGCACAGTAGCTTATATACAAGGTTGCTACTCGGCACAGGAGCTTAGATACATAACCTACAGTATGTATTATAAGAATTACAACTGTGGCCTTACGCATAGCATTAAGACATGTAACATATTGTTAGCCGGGACCTTCAAGATCATTTGAGTAATATGTTGAAGGTCCAATTGTACGTAGTTTTCTTGAAAATTGTGAAGTGATCAAATCAGTTGTCAGCTCCCATGAGAAGTATCTACGTGGATTTTGTCTGCTGTGCCGTTTATAACTAGTTATATTTGCTTGACCTAAAATTATCAGAAATCTCCTACATACATTGAAGCTTTTAAAAAGTTAAAATTAACTTATTATAATTAATCAATGAGTACGTAATGCACTTATGAACGGTCGCATTGTTAGACCTGTCAGCAGAACCGTTGAGAATGAGATGCCAAATCCGTTCATTTAGCGATTGTTTTACTGAATCATTGAAAGCTCAGATACTGATTCGATTATAAAGATTGGAATTAAGAAATAAATGTAAACCCTTATACAGTAGATGCTACTTGCAATGGGATGATGTGTATAGAGTCAGATAAATAACTGTTCTAGAGGGGAAAAGCAAGGAGATGGAAGATGATGTCAGAAGGCACAATTATAAGGAAATGTAGAGAAAGATTAAACATATCAACCAGCAAAAAGGAAATAAATGGGGCGGGACTGTTAAAAGGGATTGATGAAGGCTGCAGTGTTAGTAAATAATGAATTTAGTAATTGGTTCACCCCGTTTGATCCCCAAGATATGCTGGAGACATTGAAAATGTCCAAGGGAGGGCCACCAGACTGGTGCCTGCAATACGGCACCTCAGTTACCTAGACCAATTACCCAAAGAGGTTAGAACGCCTGCAGTTGCCTAGCTTGTACTACAGTACAGGCGGGTAAGGGGACAATACTCACTCGCTTGTTCATTCCCGGAGCAGACAGATGACCGCCCCACAAGGGGTCACAATTTAAAGTTGAAGAAGTCACAAGTTAAAAAATTTGTGAAGGTAAACTTTTTTAGGGTAAGAAATGTAAACTCTTGATCAGTCTACCAGAGTGTTAGTGGAATACATATACCTACTCATTTATTAATGTATCAACCCAGACAACACTCTTCCTGGTAAGCGGGTCCTCATGCTGGATGAAAACAAGGCATGCAGAGTTTTTCATGGACCTAGCAAATCTATTCCTCGTCTTGGCGTGTGGAGGACAAGTGGTATCTACTTTGGGGAAACTGATGCTGTGCTCCAGAAAGGGACATCAGTGATCTCTCACCCTGTGCACACGAAGAAGCGGACACCAGACCTCGATAGTACATGAAGCACACTGTTCAAACATGGCTACGCACAACTTATGTTAAGGACTGTGGACATTGATGTCATAGTCATTGCAAAGATTCAGTAAGCGGCTATCAGTAAACTGGATTGCATTTGGTATGGGCAAGTACTGTACTTCAGACTTACAGTATACCTGTTAACGAAACAGTGGAAGTATTGGGTCCTGAGAAACTTAAGAGCACTACCAGCAGTTCATACCTTTACAGGTGTGACCAGATAAAATTATCGTCTTTTTTTTAGTAGAGGCATAAACACAGCGTGGAGAACATGGAACTATCATGATAAGGTCCCGTTCCCATCAGCCTATGGAGCATTGAGTTTGGTCTCTAATATATGAGTATACTATCAGTTCATCATCTTACCTACTTGTTGGTTGATAAACTAAATATGACAGCCATTTTTATTCTTTAAAACTAGTACAATATAAAATTTATTCTGAATTACTTAACATATACCCTTGACCAAACACAAGTTTTAACAAAAATATGATACCGTGTGAAGGCCAACGTGAAAATGTTCGGCAATCTTTAATATCCTTCAAGTGGCCTCACATCCCGACATGTTCAGTGGATCAAACTCTCTCTACCTTGGTGGAAAGTTTCGTCCTGGTTACGGGGAACCCACAGTTTATACACCATTCTCAAGTCTTTTTGAAGCTAAGGTATCCATGGCTGTGTACTGTACAGTAATCCAGACGATGACGTACGAAATCCATAAAAAGATGAAGGTACGACTTACAGTACAATTCCTAGACCTCAGGTTGTCTCTTCTCACTGCTGCTCCTGCTATCCTTTGTACAGAGTTTAAGGTTTGTGATGAGTAGAGTCTGCCACCACTGAACACACAACAACACTCACAAAAAAGCCAAATAATAATGGTAGAATTTATATTTATTTTATTTATATTATTATTATTATTATTATTATTATTATTATTATTATTATTATTATTATTATTATTATCAATATTTATTACTTTACCAATGGCATAAAACTCACTATAGCAACATACCCTAACACTATAGCCTAATATATTGCAGGAGAGTGCTATATAGACAACCCAATATAGGACCATAAATAAAAGTAGGAAATATAAAACCTTCTCTTGTACCGTTTAACAGCGGGTAATATAGTCGTTTTTATAGGTCGTGTGTGTCCTGGTAGCTGGGGTCAGGGGTCAAGGTGTTCACGGTCGACTAGCGGTAACTTGGTGGTTGTGATGGTGGTGGATATGAATAGAAAGAAGAGGTAGGGATGGAAAAGGAGAGAGAGGTAGGGATGGAAAAGGAGAGAGGGGTAAGAAATACTACAACTACACTATATCATCACACTACGACAGCTACAACACAATAACTTTTATAACTAGACTGCAACTACTGTAACTACAACCATTATGATAACTACAACTATAATAACTACTATTACAACCACAACAACTCCAATCACGACTACAACCCCTTAGATGGCAGTAGTAAGTGACCTCGGCCAAAGGGTCTTTTCCGGGTCCAGTCGTGCAGAAAAGGTCAGGCGGAAATTAGGGGGAGGTCAAGTGCGACTGAACACCCTCTGTCAAGTCGCGCAGTAGTGTGTGTGCGTGTGGCCCTCCGAGTTTCACTGAATCACTCACGGCATGCATCCTCTGGATGCAGAGGATGACATCAAGGAGGTCTTTTACGCCGACCTTGACAGAGTGCTAACCTCTATCCTCAGAGAAGACAAGGTTGTGCTCCCTGGTGACTTCAATACCAGAGTTGGCAGAGATGCTAACATTTGGCAGGGAACCACAGGGAGAAATGGACTAGGCAAGTGTAATCCCAATGGCCTACTCCTCCTCAGCAAGTGTGCTGCTCACAACCTCACTATCTCTAATACCTTGTTTAGGCAGGCCGACAAGTTCAAAGGTTCGTGACCCACAATCCAAACACTAGCCGAGATGTCCTCAGCACCCATGCCAAGCGTGGCTCAGACCACTGTAACACTAATCATCGGCTCGTCAGAGCCAAGCTCTCACTTCACGTCGCCCCAAAACGGCCTCTGGAAGAGGTTTTAACACAAAGCGTCTGGAGGATCCAATGGTAGCACATGCTTTCAGAAAGCAGCTCGAACGTGGGCTGATAACCTGACAACGACCAACCCAAATCCCAGTGCCGAATAGGATATTCTTGACACTGTCATTACAAAAATTTGGAGAGATCCTCAACCAGATGGAAAGAATACACCAGTACTGGTTTGATGTAAATGACCCAGCAATCAATATACTCGTCAATGATAAACGTGGTGCTTTAACTGACTGGCAGAACAACCCTCAGTCTCGGATCAAAGTTGATACCTTCCACAAGAAAAAAGCTGCGGCCCAGTGAGAAATTCGCAATCTAAAGAACGACTGGTTTAAAAATAAGGCATGTGAAACACAAAAATTTGCAAAGCAGCTCAAGATGCACAAATTTTTCAGTTCCACTAAAACATTTTATGGGCCAATCACTCGTGGTGCATCCCCCCTCCGTTCATCCGACGGTAACTCCATAATTAAAGAAGATAAAGGCCTCCTTCAGTGCTGGAAAGAGCACTACCCAGCAGATCCCTCCTCATCCAGAGCTGATCCACCTCACCTATCCTCCATCCCCGGATGAGGTAGCTACTGCCATCAAACAGATGAAAAAATAATAAAGCCTCAGGACCTGATGGAATCCCTGCCGAAGTGTATAAAGCAGGAGGACCTCTGCTTACCAGCCATCTCCACTCTCTCCTGGAGAATATATGGGAAAAGGAGGAAATCCCCCAAGCTCTCAAAGACGCCTCAAAGACGCTGCTGTCTGTAGCTGGCAAGATTTTTGCCCGAGTCCTCTTAAACAGACTTCTTCCAGAGGCGGAAAACTTCCTTCCAGAATCTCAATGTGGCTTTAGTTTAGACCATCACATGGCACCACTGACATGATCTTTGCTGCCCATCAGATGCAAGAAAAGTTCAGAGAACAGCGTCGTGACCTGTACATGGCTTTTATCGACCTAACCAAGAACTTCAACTCGGTCAACAGGGAAGCCCATTGG